CCAGAAATTTGATCTTGTAATAGGACCTTAATTTTCTTTTTTTAAATATTTTTAATTATATGACAGGGAAATAGATTCATATGTTTAAAAAGCTTTCGTTTCAAGAGTTTAAAAATGGTCCTTTGTTCTGAGAAACTTTCTTTACAAGCATTGACTTAAAGGTATGAACTTACTTCAGTCAAAAACGTGTCTAGAAACAAATACTAAATTAGAGATCAGATGTTTATTAACTTAGTGCCTAAAAGAGACACATGTAGTCCTAGGAGTGCTGGTGCCTGCAGTAGGACTGCAGAGAGTGAAGGAAACAGCATGGACCAGGGCTGGGACAGCTGGCAAGGGATGCCCTGAAGCACTAAAGGTCGTCAGCAGGCCATGCCAAAGAAAGACACTTCCAAAACTCAGGCTCTTACTCTATTTGGGACCTGTTAGCAATGTCATCCATGATCAATTCCTAGGCTACCAGTGCTTTTACACCTTGGATGAAATTCAAGTTCCCTGCACTGTCCATACATTTGTGTCAACAACAACTGCTACACAAAAATCCAGTTCAGAGGTTCTGGACCGTAGTCTGGAATCTGAGCTCACAAAAATCAGCAGCTCCCAAGGTTGCCTCATCCAAATTCACTATACTTAGGTTTGCACAAGGCAGAAAAGTCATTAGGGCAAAGGGGCACATCATGACATAGGTACCACTAAAGGACTTCTCAGGCACAACACCAGGGATTTATCTTGACCCTCATCATCATGAATGAGTTGAGACTATGCAAGCTGAAAGTCAGTCAATGTCTTCTCTTTCTTACATTCCAACCCTAAGCCTAACCTTCCTGTCTATCCTGACACTGTCTGGGTTATAACCTCTCCATCTGCCCACAGCCCTTATGTACCTTACAGAAACCACACATGGAGGGACTGGTGTTATGGATGTATCCACTAAATCCAGAGTCTAAAACTAAATATAGCATTCTAACATAATTCTAACATAAAGCTAAATCTAAAACTAAATCTAGCATACATACATCCAAATTTCTCTCCATCATCTCCTCCACCATGTGCAAATCATGTGCAAACCACGTGCAAACACATCATCTGCCATAGCTGGATGCAGCAAAAGGGATTTATTTATCCTGCAACAGTCAAGCTCCCGTTTTATGCAGCAGTTTTTTGTGCCTTTCCCACTATTCTGTAGCTACTGCCTCTTTCTTATCCTCTTTTTCTCAACCTCTCACCTTCTTGATGACAAGCCAGTGCACCTTGTCATTCAAAAAGCAAAAATCTTCAGGGCAAGAAATTTGTGTTTGCGAACTCCTACATAACAGGCTTCTTAGCTGTTTGGTAAAAGTAAGAATTCTCCTGGTTAGGCAGCAGTACATATTCTGGGATTCACAGGAAAGGGCACTGCCTCACTGAATGACTACAGCTATTATTGGTAATTGTTTTTCAAGAGCTCTCGCATTAACGTTGTATCCTGACAAGCAATCTAATGACCTCTCAGGATGATCATTCCAACAATAAAGAGACACATAAAACAAATTTGCCAAAATGCAGTCATGCATGTCCTGAAATGAAGTATCAATCTATGGAATTGCTCTGAAAGGAGATAACTGACTTATATCCTTGACAGTGGGTTTCCAGTGCTCCTAGAGTTGTGTAAGAGCCTATCACAGCCCCAAATGTCTTCTTCATGAAGGTCAACTGAACTATAGTGCATTTATGACCAGCCATTTTCTAGCTTCTAGATAAGCATTTGAACAGACCATGCATTTTTTCCTCAATTGGCTGTTCTCAGCTAAAAAATTGTTTTAGAGATACTGAGCAATAACACAGCCCTTGGGAGAAAAGCCTTTCTGCATTAGCTGTCTGACTGACACCATGAATGATTACATCCAAGCACCAAATTTAATGAGATTTCTACAAAAATGAGTGACATCTGCATAGCACTCATGTCCTGGCTAACTGTCATACATTTGTCATCACTGAGGCCTTTGTCCTTTATTAATCCACTTTCAAGAATGCCTGCTGTTGGAAATTGAAATGCTTTTTAGCAGTCACCCTGCAGACTGTGTAAGAGCACACATCTCCAAAAGCATAATGACACATTGTCATGCCTAGGAATGCATTTAAAGCATTTAAAAAACATGAGAACTCTGACAACAAAATATATTGAGAATTTAGCAGGGGATATCTGCATAAATATTATTTTACAACCTTTAATATAAGCAAGGTGCGTATTCTTTTGTTATAATATAGTGGCTAGAAACTCTTTACCAATATTCAGAGTGCATGGGAGAAATATTGTTATAAAGGAAATGTACTAAAATGTTTCCCTTTAATTTTGTTTTTGCTTGGGACCATCATATAATTCTGGGCCTAGGGCTCCAACCCAGTAAAAGCATATGATTGTATCAAAATCCCAGCTTTCCTCTAAACTTTCCCTCATGGCTACAAATAAAAATTTCACTAATATTTTCCTACATCAACAGATAGCCTGAAACAGTAGAGAATGGAGATTGAAGAATCACCCTATTTTATTAAATTAGCTCCAGGACTTTCTATTCTGAGACAAAGATCTGACCTGGTGCTTCCCAGCAAAAAACAGCAAACACTTGGCAGGAAGGCAGGAGTGCAGAGAACACATTTTTCTGCCATGTTTTCTCCAAGGAAGAAAAGCAAGACATTTGCACTGCAAATGAAATGGGACTCTGGAAGGCCAAGTGCTGCAAGGTGTCCAAGGGGTGGCACCATCTTATTCCAGTCATTGCTTGTGGCTCCATCAAAGGCACTGACAGCACCAAAGTCAAGCCTGGTGAGCGGGCAGAGCAAGGGGAGAGACTCCCTGCAAAGATGTTCATTGCCCATGGAAGTGGAAAAGCTTATTCCTAGTTCTTCCTATGGCCCAGAGCCATACCCCAAGCTCCTGTGAAGACTGCAGTGTGTTGTGAAGACAACATTCTTCCGTCATATATCCATAGTCCTAAAATTTACTGAATTGAATCTCCTGAATTTCAAACGTTTTTTTCTCTTTTTTGTTGCTATTATTTCTAAATGCCGTATGTTTCCAACATTTTATTGTCAATTAGTTGCTTGTAGATCATTGCCAAGCAAATAGAGAGGCAAGTGAATAGCACAATTTGCTCTCTCATTTATAGGACTCAATGTTTCTTTCACTTGGAAGATATTGAGTCCAACTATTAGAAAATTCTGATCCTATGCTGTCACAGTTTGTGTAACCATGTTTTAGTTGAAGGCATATCAGAAGAAATATAATATTCACTAATATTTTCCTACATCAACAGATAGCCTGAAACAGTAGAGGATGGAGATTGAGTCAGCAGCCGCAAATGACAAAAATTCACAGTATATACAAGTACTTCAATAATGGGGGTTTTTTTAGCCCTTGATGTTCAGATGAATTTGTTTCTAGTCTTGGACTGAGAAACCCAGCCAGTAAAAGATTTTATTGCATGAAATAGCACTAAAATATAAAAATTATAAACTCTGTAGTGCAGAAATACTGGCTGTAACTTCAAAAGGAGACACCAGATTCCTGCGTTTGCCGCTTTGATCTGCAGGTGCTGAGCTCTGACATTTCAGCAAGTGAGACCACACCACTCACCAGAGCTCAGAGGAATGGAGGTTTACAATGGTCCTATTCTGCTGCAGCTCATGATATGTTCAAACAAAATTAGGCTCCCTCGAAAGTGTACCAGCAGTAACTTTCTAATAATGAAGTTTTGTTCCCTTCCTGCAGCTCCATTTTGGGAGAAAGTGTCCATTGGTGCACTTCTGATTTCACAGTCCTCCATCTGTGTAGGAGCAGAAGGAAAACATCCGCTTTCAACAGCAAGAAGATGGAAAACAATTAGAAGGGCCTTGGATGCCATAAAATATATATTTTTCATAAATAATTATAGCTATTAATAATATGATTATTTTATGGAAGTATCAAGTTCTGTCCTCCAGGACTTATATAAGCTTTTAAGTATAAGAAACCACAGGAAAGAGGTTTGTTTTGCATTTACACATGACAGAGACACACAGTTTCCCCAAAACATCTGTCTAAATATGATTATGGACAAGGATCCTGAACCAGGATCAAAGACAAACTTGCCTCCAATTTAGTTCGGCAAGTGTAAGTGGACAATGTTTTCAATCACCAGTCATACCAATCATCAAGAAGAATTAAATGAGGAAAATTATGGATGGGAGTGGGATGTTACAGCCACATTTTTCTTTGCAAAGTCATTTTGTTACCAGAGACCTCACTAGCCTATACATTGTGATTAGCATATTCTCACTTAGAGGAGCTAAATGGAAAAAAATAATCCTTTACTTTTCAAATTAAGACATTTTCATGTGATTTTTGTTGGGCTTTAATGGCCTCTAAATAATTTTCAGCTTTTAAAATACTTGGGTTTGGTTTTTTTATTTTAGTTTTAGTAGCTTTCAATCAAACAGTTAATGAACTTCCAGCAGGAATCCGTGCAGCTTTCCTGAGTGGGTGAATTTGAGAAAAAGGATGAATGTTGATTGATTCAGGTATTGGTAATATTATTGTTCTTCATGAAGAACATCCTCCTGTGCTTCATTTTTCTTACAATCTGTCTTTCCCATTGACAAGTCTCACACAAAGAGAACAGGTGATTGTGACGGTTCAGTCTAGCCTGGATGCTTCTTAAAGTTCCTCTTTTTTTCTTCTACTATTAGGTTCAGAACAATTATAATGGCGTTTTGGGGGTGTTTTTCAATCTTCTTTTTTTAGTTCTTCTACTGTCACTCTGACAAGATAATTGATGTTCACTCATTCAGCATCTAAAGAGCATCAACAATCACAGTTTGCCATCAGAAATCGTGGAAATGAGGTATCTCCATGATGTTATCTTAGCTCTCGTGTTTCATGGATATTGAACTGCAGCGGGTCCCTACAGAATGCATCTCCTGTATTAATGCTGCACATCCACGATGATGGTGTAGTCTGTTTGACTATTCCACTTTATTTCTAGGTCCTCCTGGTCCCCCAGGGGTTGTAATAGTGGAGGAAATAACAGACACAACAGCAACACTCTCCTGGAGTCCTGGGGCAGACAATCACAGCCCTATCTCCCTCTACAACCTGCAAGCACGCAGTCCATTTTCCCTTGGCTGGCAGACCGTAAAAACAGGTGAGAAAAATTTTCAAGCAACACAAGTAGACTGTTCAAAACTCCTGATCATAACAGTAATAATCACTGGCAACTACAGGAACAGATACTCATAAGAAAACAATGACAAAATAAAATCACTGATTTTTTTTTTTTCTTTTTTTCATTCCTTTTGTGTTACTTAGCAACAGCTCTGAAAGGACAGTACAAAGACACCTGCCACGATACATCTGTGAATAAGCAGAAAGCTCTCACCTAAATCCTTTAATCTGTGTCTTTTCAGGAATACTACAGTGCCAAAAACCTAGCTGCGATTTCTGACATATTAGATCCTTGATGTCGGTCATTTCTAATGACCATGTTGTACCACAAACTCTGCTTTCTATCGAGATACTGCACGTCAGCTTCAGATTTCTGAGTGACCTATCCATGTCTTTACTGTCTGCAGTTCCAGATCTGATAAGTGGTGACATGGAGTCTGCTATGGCTGTGGAACTGAACCCTTGGGTGGAGTATGAGTTCAGAGTAGTAGCAACCAACAAAATTGGAACTGGAGACCCAAGTGCACCATCGCGAGTGATCAGAACCAATGAAGCAGGTAAGGTCAAGATAAAAAGGTTATTTTTACAGCACCATCAGAAAAAAGGACTGCTTTAATATAATAATGGACCTAATTGCTTTGGTACACGTGTGTGCGTCCAATAATCACAGTTCCCAGGTGATATTCTTTGTAGTGGGGAGTCTGTTTTAATTACAGGAATGTTGTTTAACTTACAGAAATTTCAAATAAAACCATTCCCTGCTCTTCTACTTCATCTGAGCTGCTTTACTTTTTATCTTACGCTTAAGCCACTGATGTCTTCCCTCTGATAAAATACTGCTGCCCTTAAATTAGGCTGTTTTGCAGTGTCTTCAAACAACTGCTCCTAAGCAGCCTCTTCCCCAAATTTTTCACAACTTCTCTGACTGACAGAGCATGGAATTTTTTCAGCAAGATAGGGAAGTCATAAAAAGCTGCTTAATTTAAAACACCTTGTATTCAAAGCCTTTCTTTGTCTTGCACACTCTACTGTGAACAATTACTACATTTTAATAAATTTCATTGTATTTCTAATTAGGATGATACTGTGGGAGACCAAAAAAAACAAAATATCCTATTTAGGTCTCTTGAAAGTTACAATGGACGCATAAGATTTGGAATCCTTTATGATAAATTAGGCAGAACAAAGGAAGATAAAGCAGATAAAGAAGGACTGGGAATCTGAGTAAAATACCTAGGCACTTAGAAAGACATATTTTAAGAAGCAGAAAGAGATAGAGATAGGATTTGGACAAAGCCTCAGAAGAGAACGACATGTCAGAACACTTTCAGTTTATTCTTCATTCTTCTGTGTTATTTAGGATGCCTGGACAAATTATTTTGTGTTTTGATGTTTCATCAGTTGAATAATTTTTAAGTAACTTGTTGCACCACTGTGAAGACCTCATTCCTACCTCCTCAGTGACCTCCCCACAGGCACTGGGAGCTGCTGTTAGGTCCCCCAACACCATCTCTTCTCCAGGTTGGACAAGCCCAGCTTCCCCAGCCTCTCCTCACAATGCAACTGCTCCAGGCTCCCCTCCACCAGTAGCCTCCCCTGAACTTGAACTAGTTGTCTTTCACATTGTGGCAACTGAAATTGGATGCTCTATTTCAGATGAAGTCTAACGAACCTATCTGCAGTTGTAATAAGACATATTTATGTTTTCCTGCCTTAAATAACAGCATATTTGCTAGCTGATATTAAATTTCACTGTACAATCACAGAACAGCACTGAAGTGATTTGATTCCTATTCATGCATGCTGAAAGATGTTTCATTTCAAATTGTCCCCCTCATCTTTTTCAAGCTCCCCACAGTGTGAAATTCAGCAACTTGATAGCAGAAGCTTCAGATGCTCCATACTTTGTTCCATTAAGAAAAGGAGGAAATGAAAATTAAATAAAAAGCACAAGGTAGTTTCATCTCGAGTTATTTTTTTAAAAACCTCCCTTTCTTCACCACCATTATTCTTTCCTTAATTTTGTACCATATTTCATTGGTAGTACAAATTCTTCTGGACCCTAATGTTTGAAAAACTTTTCTATTTATTCAGATGATACATATCAGAGAGGACAAAAATATTCTGGAAAAAATTTATCCTGGAATAAGTTTCACCCCTGGTATTATGCTCTTTCAGACTGAGGAATATTTTCCCTGTTTTCACAAGGATGGTTCAGTATTTTAATCAACCTAGTGAAGTCAAACTGTGGGCTTAAGTTTTTCTGACAAAGTGAAGTTTGCAAATGTTAGTTTTCACCCAGCTATCATGTTTTTAGGCTCCTTCTTCTACTTGTCCTATGTTTAATTAAGGCCCTGTTTACTAAAACATATTCTCAAGTGAAACTCTCCTTAATGCATATTCATTTTCAACCTTCTCTGCAACTTTACCTCTGTAAAAATGAATTGATAAATCATAATATCGATCAGCAGAAAAAATTGTGGGAAAGACAAAGCATGCAACGTGGTGATGAATTTTCATCTGGTGCTTGGTATTCATTTCTGTGTAATATTTCACCATTATCACTATCAGAAAGAACAGAGTCTTTAACTCAAGAAACCATCTAGAATCTGCACAGAGTTGTTAAATTGGAACAATAAAACAATGGATTCTGCTTTAAATAAAGAAGCAAATAAAATTTAAAAGCCCAAACTGTTATACATCATATAGTTCTTTGAAAAACAGCATACTGCACATAATACGTATGGCACTCTTGAAATGCCAGAGCCTTCATGATCAGCTTCATTTAGGCAGTCAGTTTTTCCTGAACTTTGGATATTCCTGAAATTCAGAGTCTGCTGCCTCTGTATTACAAAATGCCTTTCACTAATTTTGGGAATTATCACCCTTGGTACAGTTTTCAGATGCCAAAAAAGAAGGGAAACCAGTAAGAGTTTTCATTTGCTTACAAGAGTTTTCATATGGGTTTTCAAGTTAGTACATAATTTCCTATCTTAGTGAACCCATTGATCCATTATTTTTCACAATCTCTCTATTACTAATTTTTTTATCTGAAAGCTTCAAGGGAAACTGTCTATTAGCATGATGCCCAGTTCTAATATCATTGTTCTCAACTCTTAAAGGACATTTATGTGATAGGTCAGATTTCAGAAATTACATGGCATGAACCTCCCTACTCATGACCCAGGCAGAAAAACCTGGCTATTTGCACTGATGGTAGATGTGTCCCACAAGTGCAAACAGGTTTTCCCTGCACTGGGAAGAAATCCAGAAATATTCATCTCCCAGCTGAGAAAGTAACCGTGACTCATGTTCAGGTAAGAGTTGAGACCCATCAGGCTGAATGGTAGCTGTGTAGACAATCCACAGAGGCAGCAAATGTACGATTCTGGTTCCATTATTTTACACTTTAATGGAAATCTGCATCTGTAGTTTAATGGCACAAATAATTTGACTGGAGACAAAAGTCTTTTTTTATCCCCACACCTCACTTATTTTATCACTGCTTATCTAAGATAGTAACAACACCTTATATCATTCCATTATCTAAAAATACCTATGAAAATAATAATTCAGATGGTGTAAGGAAACCAACAGAATAATAAACAAGTTTTGACTTGCTTTAATTTTTTAATTAAACTCTAATCTTGTTACTTAGCTCATATTTAGTTAACATGATTGCTTTTCATTGCTACTTCCATTGGAACAGATAATACCACAATTTTCTGGCACATCTAACTTACAGCCAGCTGCTGCATTCCTGTCAGCTCTAGCCTTGATACATATTTTACAGGTCCACAAGTTGCAAAGAGACAATAACATAAATTTAAATACGTCTGGCATTCCACCAAGACAGTCGGGGCATTTGAAGCCTGGGGGCAAAGCATCAATTACATTATCTATTCATGGGGAAACATGGAGAGAGAGAAATTGAGTAGAATCAAAGTTTAACCTGTTAATCATGCATGCAAACTTGATTTTATGAGGTAACAGTGTAATGCACTCTATTAGTAACAGACTGAACACTGGCTTTATTTTTAATAAGTCCTTATGTTCCAATAAGTTGCCCTTATTCTCAGCTAGAATTCCTTCACAGCGTAACAGGAAATGTCTCTGTCCCAGGAAAAAAGTTGGCCATTTTAGACTGGCTTAAAGTTCAATTTTGTTGTTGGGGGTAATTTTATTTGTGATTTGTATAAAAGAAGTTCCAGATTTTCCCATTATCAAAACTACTTTTGCAATAGGAAAAAAAAATAAAAGTAACCTGCTGTATGTGGGACATTTGCAGATAATGACATGGTCTACTAAAGCTTTTGTAGAAAATGTGCTTTTTCCATGAAGAAAAACAGAAGGAGAAAGTAGGCTATAATCACTTACTGGAGGCTACTTAGATTTTGGATTGTGGGCTCAAAATAATATTGACAAGGAATCCAAATGTGCATGCGACAGAAGACGGAGCAGAAGGCACCTGCTTTTGTCCCATAGCATATACGTATGCCACAGCATGCAGGATTTCAGCCCTATAGGTGGTGATTTGGAGACGATTCAGGCAGAGTCCTGCAGTCACATATGACCCTCTTGTCAGTGAATAGAACTGAATTCAACCTCATAATTAATTACAAATGTTAAAAATACAGAGGAAATTAGAACAACCTTTCAGATGCTGAGACCAAGGATGCCAAGCGGCATCCTTGTTTTCCAGTAGTTGAATATGTGTGTCATCCTCTTCTGAGATGCTGGTATGTTGTACACTTCATTCCTGAACAGGTGAGATGTGTCTTGTTATGCTGGGAGAGTAACTACTTGAGGGCTGGCTTTTCACAGAGTGAAAGCATTTTCACTTAACAGCCTCCTGTTTCCTAGATGTGTACTGCAGGAGATGTACACACACACATATACATACATGCGTGTAGAGGGAGAATGGAAAGCAGCTGAGAAGAAAAAACTATGTTGTGAATATGTTATAACTTTGGTCTCACATAAAAAAGTTTTGCCAAGCTGGTGACAAGCCCTCTTACCCCTGCCCATATCTCTTAAAAGGTTAAAAAGTATTGTTTTTCAAACTACATCTGTATCTTAAGTTATAAAAAGCTTTAACATAAATAAGTAACAGCAACAGCAGCAGCAACCCTTGAAAAAATGTACAAGTAATTTCTTAAGGACTAAAGACAAGTTTATTTTTTTATCCCACAAAAAAGTGTAGCAATATCAACATTTTCCTTAATTTTCCTTTATTTGACAAAAGTTTCAGAATTTATATAAAAAATATCCATGTGGGAAATATCTTAAAAATACAGGATTCAAGCAGAATAAGAAAGACCATGTGAACTAAGTATGGAATAGGGATTTGGGAATTCTGGAATCATTAGTATATCAAAATATACTATAAACTATAGTATAACTATAAACTATAAATTTGGGTCGCTCATATTAACATCTCTTAATCTAAAACCAGGAGTTTTGTAAGACTTCTGCTTCTCTTTGTCTTCCCTTTAGCTCATCTATTTCCTAATAAAGGATAGGGACCAAATCTAGATTCAAGTTTCTGCTACAATAATGCAATCATTTTTACTCAATTGTAATTAATTATAATTTTGGCTGCTAAAGACTTTTGTTCTGCCCAAAAATTAAGACAGATTACAAAATGAAGAATCTGTATTTTTTTTTTGGTAATAAACAAAACATATTGAAATAACACACTAGACATTTCCTTGGGGACAAAAAAATATCAAACAGACCAAGACACAAACAGAAACACTTTTAAATTATTAATTATTCATTCAATAACATTTTAATAATTTACTTACAAGACTGGAATGTTGAAAAGAGCATGAACTGGCTTACAAATACTTTCAGCTTTTCTGGGTTCAGTGTGATATTTTCCTTTCTATTAGGAAAGAAACCTAGAGCTAGTTTAAAACTTTGTTTTTAGTTCATTCACTGCCTTAAAAGCACAGAGTGTAAAACTGCTTTTAAACAAAATTATTATTTATTTTCTTTAGCAAATTAGAATGAAAATAATAATTTTGGATTAAAATTAAAAATCTCTGTCAACTTAAGCTCCAATACTCTCATCTGTATTTCTAGTTTTATTTTTTTTTATTTTTAATAATTGAAGCAAAATACAAACTATACATTTTTAACTCAAATTGCTCTGCTTCATTTGTTATAATGTGAAGATGAAATATTTAATAAGCATTAATATTTTTCCCAAGACTGAGTACAAAAAAATCTTTGAATCAGGTCATCTTTGCAGTCCACCATTATAATTTAAAAAATAAGCAAAAAACCTAAATTAAAAATAACCCCACAGATAACGCATGAGCCATGCAGACTGAAGGGAAAGGAATTTTTTTAATCTAATTAAATCACCATAAAGTACAGACCAATTTTGAAAAAATTGGACACAGTGGAAGTCTGGAAGAAAAGTGAACATCTACCCCATATGTTTGTGGTGTCAGTATTACCCACCATTTCAAAAGCTTCCCCATTTAAATGTTTCACGTTAAAAATAAGTTTAAAATATATAGATGACACCATCAGTATTTTTCAGCACTTTATAACCACTGTTCCCATACATAAAACCCTCAGCAATAGCAATTCTTTATAGATATTTTGTCCAAAACTAAAACTGTCTGCTTTTCATCCATATTTAGCTTGTAATGATAAGATACGCATGAATTATTAAACAATTGTCATGGCTTCACGTGTAAGTTTTATCCTTCCATATCACCTTTTCTTCATTTATATCTTGTCAAATGTTTTGTAGGGCTGCTGAGGGCTACATTTTCCATGCCTGCTCTTAGAGAAAATGTTAATGAGTTTTTTGTTTGGTTTAGAGGAGATAAGTTTTAATAGAGTTTAATTTGACTTTCATTTCCAGCATATCATAGTAATTTCATGAAAATGGAAAACAGTAAAAAAACCCTGCTGTTTACATTCAACTCAAACTCCTGGCACATTTGTTTCAAGATTTTTGTTTGTTTGCACTAAGTGTGGGGGTGTATGTATTCAGAAAAAAAAATACCAAACTTCTCAGCTTTGAAAAACCCTAAACAAACCTGTTCCCCAGGCACATGTCTCCTGTCTCCAGGAGCCAAGTTTAGGTGTCATATTTGTGTATTTGGTGCAAGTGCATGTCCATGAGTGTCACTGCTGAGAATCAGCAGCATAAAGAATGGGAAGTCATTAATTGCATGGCAACAAACTTAGGCCATGAGTGAGTAAATTCAGATATAACGTTGATATTAAGGGGATGGTGCTGAAAGCATGCCTGATGTACAGCCTTGGTGCCTGGCAAAAAATGTTTTCTTTTAATAGTTTTCTTCACTTAATAGTTACTCATTTTAAACTGTCTCCCTCTAACTGTCTATACTCTGCTTTGCTGCAGTGCAGAGGAAATTTATTCTTTTGACACATTTATTCTTTTAATGGTTATTCATTTAAAAGAGTTTCACTGTGTGAGTGTACATTTTAGTTTCGTGCAAAATAAATTCGTCCTTTTGACAGTTTTATTCTTTTAACGTTTATTCATTTAAATAGGGCCACAGTCTGCAATGCTGTTAACAAGAAAACTCTAGAAAGAGGATGCTGCAGGTTAAATAAGTCCATCATGTTGGATGCTTCAGAGGAGCACAGCATACTCTCTAATTTCCAATGTGGCAGGCACCTACATAAAAACTCTATTTGTCTCTATAATTTATCCAAAAATACCTTAGAGAGGCAAGAGAAAAATGGGTGCTAAACAAGGTTTAAATATGCTCCATTAGAGATAGCATCATAATTTTTGGATGTTAATTAACTGTCAGATGAGGCTTCATCTGCATCTTTTCATGCTAGAACATTCGTCACACTGTTGCACATTGATTATATTCTTTCGACTCTGTTTTTAAACCCAGAGGGAAATTCTGTTTCTGAAAGGAAGCAGGAAAGAAGGAAGGAAGGAAACAGGAAGGAAACAGGAAACAAGGAAGGAAGGAAACGAGGAAGGGAGGGAGGGAGGGAGGGAGGAAGGAAGGGAAGAAGGGAGGAAGGAAGTCAAAGGCACCATATTTTCCAGATGAACAAAGGTGTATTGAAGAGAAACACATTAGAAATCTCCCCTATCTGTCTGCTCAGAGCCACAGACAAAAATAACACCTGCCTCCTTTCCAACAGTTTGAATCAGAATCAATCCATACACTTTGTGGAGTTGCATCATTTATGAAGAAAAGCAGAATTAGGCTTCTGTTCTTTATAGGGGAATTCAAGGTTCAAAAAGTGACTACCCAAATGAATTCTGAAGTCTTAGGTGGATAGGCAGGATTTAATAAAAACTGCATTTTTATTGAACTCAAGCTATCAACGGCACAGGAATCAGAGAGGACTGTGTACATTTCTTTAAATGCACTTCATTTTGTATAGTTAAAAGGCACAGTGCTACTCACTAAATAAGCTAAAGAACATGCAATAAGGCCTAAACACTTAAATGCTCACAGTGCGTTTCTACCAATGACCTATGTTCTGCTGTAAAGAAGAAAATATAATGTTTGTATCTTAGGACATATTTAATCAGATAATGCAGGTATTGCCTCCTCACAGTGAAATAAACTCAAGACTTTGGCCATTTGATGAGTTTTATTAGAGGCACTAAACAAGGTAATACAAATTACACGATTCCAATGGAACAAGTGACATTTCTAATTTTGCAAAATATGATAATCCGAATAAAAATGTTGATGATAGTTACAATTTACTTTAAAGAATTTCATCCATTGCTCATTTGCTTTAAAACTGCAATGATTAGCTCAATTTTTCAAGAACTGTGGGTAGTATTTCTTCCAGCATTTTGCAAGAAATCATGAGGGATGTTTGAAGTTGGTTGCGTTAATATTTCTGAAAGTTGGCTCCCCAGTAGAGCAATGAAAAATAGATTTACAATAATTAAAACATTCTCAATCACTAACTACCTGAAAAATCATACAGACATTATTAATTATGTTCTAAAATTTTACCCAAAATCTGAAATATGTCAGGTTTCCTGGCATTTCAAGTTCTTTGTTAAAAAATTAAAAACAATAACAAGATAATTCCTATTTTATCTCTTAGGTGACCTGCACAGTGAAATTTTTACCAATCTGCAGAAGACATAGTGCTTAAGCAGTATTTTATTCCAATATTATTTTCTTTCTCAGCTTATGTTTTGTTTGATTTTTCTAACTTGTGTATGCAATTCTCTGAAATGAATCTTGAGCAAATTTTATTTACTTCAGAGTGCTATGTTTTTATTTCTGTTCTGAAACAAGAGTCTCATGTCTTCTGCATCAACTTATTACTGTGGGGAAAACTTCAATAACTTAGATATTCTGGTTTGTTTTGCTTTGCTTTGTTTTTCCTTTTTTCACACAGTGCCAAAGACACCTCCAGCTAACGTAAGTGGCAGAAGTGGAAGGCGACATGAATTAGTAATAGCATGGGAGGTAAGAGATATTTCTGTTTAAAGGTTTTGTTTCATGTTAACTTCTTTGAGCCCAAAGCAAAGAGTACTCTGCTAGGGTTTCCTTACAACAAACCTTGTCAACACATAAACACAAAATAACCACTCTTAAATAGGATCTAAAATTTCAAAATACTGTTGATTTTCATGAGGTCTGAGTAGAAGACATTATGGCATCAGCTCTGAAGTTCTACTAATTTATCAGGCTTTTCTTCCTGATTTGCTGCTTGGGTTTATTTCATTTTTCTGGATCTTATGTGAACACCAGATGAAATAATAGCTAAGAGAAGAGAAGGAAAGACTTGAAAAAATTTTTGAACTTCAATTAAAAAACAATTATTTTTAATTTTTGAATAAAAATAAACTAAAGAGAATGTTGAGGACATATTTGTGGTGATCATGCCAGTAGGAGAGATGCTTTCCCTTCAAATCATAAAAAAACAGTAGGACAGAGACTTTTCTTAAGGAGTTTTCAAAACTTCTAGGTTCATCATGAACAGTTTCAGATCCATAAAAATTCGTACATACATTTATATATACATACTCAAGAAAAATCCATCAAATAAATATATGGGGTTATAAAGAAAAAAAAAATTATCTTAGCCAATTTGAGGAGTGACTCAGATAGTAAGACACACCAAATTCTAATTATTTCAATTACCAAATTTTAGGACATCTAAAGAGACATCTGCCTTTTTCTACACCAGCTACCAGTGACATCTGAGACAGAGCTGATTTCAGTTTATATTCTATTTTACTTTATATTCTATAAGGACAAATATCAACTTCTCTCTTATCAGGAGAGAATTTTCTGAATCCTGAACAAAAATACCGGGTGGCTGGAACTGTGTCTGCTGTGAATGGACCTAATCCCAGTGCCTAATAAGATATATTAGTATGTAGTTTTCATGTTAAGTGTCTTTATAGAACTTCCCAGGTGTCTGGGTTGGGGGGCTACTGGAAAGTGCTGTAACTCCCACTCTGTCAGGGGCCAAAACTTTCTTCCCAAAGAAACCAGAGACACAGGGGTGAGACTGCCTTGCAAAGTCCATCTTAGCTTTTCATCCTCTGCCCATGGAGTCACGGTTCTTTTTTTTTTTCTGGGATGTGCAGTGCACAGCTTCAGAAGGACGGGTAGAAGATTTTGTTGGCAAGTGAAGTGCCAGGTGATGAGACATTCACTGAAATGTGGAGGGGAGAGGATTCAGTGTCACCTGTGTCCCATCTCTGATTCCTTTGTCCATTAGCTGCATATCTATGATGGGAATTTCAAGAGAGGGAGTTTAGACACCCATTTCTGGACATTTCACATAGGTTTAATATGCACACAGCTGTGAAATATAACCTAGCCCCCCCCAGACTAGTCCATTGATTTCAAAACAAATGTTGATTGCTAATTTACTAATTAGCATTAAAAGTTCCATTCATTGAGCTGGACATGTAAGTTTTAGTTTTTGCAGTGATCAGACTCTAAAAGAGATACATCCCTTTTTTAACTGCCTGCTTATGTTCAAATGTGTCCCAATTTAAGCATCTAATTTCACATGTCCTCTGAGAAGAAAAAAGTAAATGCGTTATTTTCCACCAAAACAAAATGTAAAAACCTTTCTGAGACTTAGAACCATTTAGAGTCATTACAATGTATTCCAAATATTAAGTTGAACCCTGGAATTGAATCTCTAAGACTTAACACCCAATTTGGAATAGAATTTAGACAGTCTGACAACTAGAACCCAAAAGAGTCCCACCACAGTAGGTATTACACACATCATCTTACTCACAATATATTGCTCTATATTTTAACAAGGCCATAGGGGCTATTCCACCTACAGACAACTGGTTAGTGGAATGCATAAAAGAAAACATTTTTCTGAGAACAATAGCTCATTCAGTCCTAGGAAAATGATCTAACTACAGTGATTTTGTGAGGAAACTCTCTTAGAAGGTTCCTCTTTGGAAGAAATTGTCCTTATGAGGACAGGTATGGTAAGTAAAATCCTTCAATGGAACTGTGACTTTTTTCTAAATTAGTAAAATTATTTCCAATCATAATTAAGTTTCTTAACTTAATTTTTCAGCCAGTGTCAGAAGAGTTTCAGAGTGGAGAAGGATTTGGATATATTGTAGCCTTCAGACCCAATGGAACACGTGGGTGGAAGGAAAAAATGGTGACATCTTCAGATGCCTCAAAATTCATCTACAGAGATGAAAGTGTGCCACCTCTGACTCCTTTTGAGGTGAAAGTTGGTGTTTACAACAACAAAGGAGATGGTCCTTTCAGCCCTATTGTGGTCATCTGCTCAGCTGAAGGAGGTAAGTTCAACATGAAGTTAAATTGCATATGGTAAACTATATTAAGCCTTTTGTACATAATGCGTCCTTTTATAACACACTTTTTAAAGCTTAAATTACAAATTTCTTTACAGAAGTGCTAAATAACATTAAATGGGTTTTGCAGAAAAGGAAGTGAGCTAGCTTGACAAGCTTACTTAGAAAGCAAATTACAAAGTTTAGGAAGAGACCTCAAGCCATGTCAGTCATAATTGAAAAAAATAATAAAAAAAAAGTACCATGATGCTTATGATGTTTCATCCTCATATGAAATCATTAGCCTTCATTGTAGATAGGGTTTCTCTAACACTGAGCAAAGAAAGGATGCTATTTTCTAATTTTTCTGAAATTCATGGTCCTTTTTTTGATGGGCTAATCAGACAGAAGTTCAAAGAATAAATAAATTCACTTATGAATGTTCATTTCCTACTTAATGCATTCTAAAAGTGCACAGAAAGAAATTTTAATTTTTAGTTCATTAGCAGAAAGTTCTGACTTTGCATTAATGTCCCAGTCTTCAAATGTCCCAGTCTTCAATGTGAATTATAGGAATAGGTCCCAAGAACAAATGAAAAATATTTCTTGAAAATTTCTATTGAGAATTGCCATAAATTCTAAACAGTATTTTGTGGGGCAGAAAAGAACCAAACAGAAACAACCAACAAGCACTAATTGGTATTAGTAAAAGAAGTTTTTCTGTTTTGACAGGACCCAGCATATGGAAATTGCTACACACAAAAAAGGCAGATAAATGTCATCCACAAGAATATTTTCAGAAGCTCCATTATTGAAATTCATGAACATGAGTTTTTTTCTTTACTATACCTCCTTGAGTTATTCCACTGTCTCCTATTAAAACAATAAAATTAGCAGAGTCCTACTGCAGATGAGAGGAATTTCATACTCTCTCTATGAAAAAGTAATGTGAAGATAATATTTCATGTGAAGCTGGGAAATATTAAATGTTATTTCATATTAACCCACAACAATTCTATAGCTTTGGAACCATGATGTAGCAGACACTGTCTGCTACTATTCTCTCACAGTAATTACAGAAGTTGGAGCTGCTGTTTTTGCTAAAAGCAGTCCCAGAAATTTGGGTTTTCCACTTTTTGAATCAGGATTAGCAAGTAGTCATATTTTTAAAAACACAATTACATTTTAAAATGTAAAAATTTCACCGTACAACCTGAAAATTGTACAGTTGACTTCCCTTTTCCTCAATGAAAATGGATACTGTGAGGCCAATGGTGATCATTTTATTTTTTAATAATTTCATACACTAAGCAAAAAGTTATTTGCAAATAAAGTTTTGCAAAGGAAGAGAGACAAACACTTTTTTTTTATTAGGAGCAAAAGTTATTTTAACAAAAGCTGAATGCTGAATTGTAATAATACATCCTTTTACCTTTGCTTGCTATTTGGACAAGATTGGAAATAAAATAATTAGTAATATATAGGTATTTTTCTCTATCAGTTCTTTTAAAATATGAACTTTACAAACGGTCTTAATAGAATATTAAAATTAGCTTTCTCTAGAAACCAACTTTTCTGATTTTAATTCAGTAACTTGAAAATACCTATCCATTATAGCTTTGCTAATTCAGTCTGTATGTATCTGTACATGAGGAATTCTATGGGCCTAAATATTTTACAAGACTTATTTTCAGGAAAAATATGGGATGCTGTGACATTGCAATACAAAATTAATTTATAAAAAGCTTTCCTCCAGAAAAAGCCAAGGTAATATACTGAGAATTTAAGGGAGTAATGAAACAGTTTATTACAGCTAAATTCTGGGCAATATGAAGATTAAGGACAATAGACATTGCAGCTTGCTATGAAAATGGGGAACTGCTTTTGAAAGAGGTATGGACTGTCATGCCTAAGGAGCTAAACAACTGAAGGCAGAATTTTTCAAGGATTTCTGTTGAAGAGTAGATATTAAGTAACGACTGACAGTACAATATATTATGGTCCTACGGCTGATCCAGCAAACCCTTAGCTTCCTTGCTTTTCATCACACATCCTATTCACTCAGAAACATCTAGAGAAAACAATAGGATAAAATTATTAAAAAATTAAAGCTTTATGTTACCTATTAAAGTGTTCCCACATCTACAAATCGATCAACAATTGTTTAATGGCATAACAATTTTATCTAAGGAAGTCTAAAGCATGTCATCTCTGGTAAGCACACTGGAAAAAACAGTTTTCAAAGGACAGATTCATGAACCATGAAGAAATCTCATTTATTAAGAATCTTATATTTCTGTATGACTGAAAGGCCTAAAATATTGCGTTCTAAGTAAAAGAACTCAGAAATATGACCAAAACACTGACCACTTTTTGGGAAGTAAATAGAGTGGCTAATATTTTTCTGTCTATTAAATCAGATCATATAATAAAATCATAGAATTATTTGGGTTGGAAGGAACCTTAAATATCATCAACCTTTAGCACATTTTGCTGTAGGCAGAGAACTTTCCACTAACCAAGTTGCTCCAAGTCCCATCCAACCTGGCCTTGAACACTTTCAGGGATGGGGCATTCACATCTTCTCTGGGCAACTTGTTCCAGGGTCTCACTGACCTCACATTAATTAATTTCTCTCTAACAACTAATCTAAATCTCTCCTCTTTTAGTTTAAATCCATTCCCCCTTGTCCTGTTACTATGTGCCTGTATAAAGTATCTCTGCCTTTTTATAAGCTTCCTTTAAGTACTGGAAGACTAGACTAGACAGTCTCACTGGGGCCATCTCTTCTCCAGGCTGAGCAGCCCCAACTCTCTCAGCCTATCTTCATAAGAGAAGTGCTCCAGCCCTCTGATCAACTCTATGTCCCTCCTCTGGACCTGCTTTAACAGGTCCAGGTCTTTCTTGTGATGAAGACCTCAGAGCTGCTACAGCCCTGCAGGTGGGGTCTGAGCAGAGCAGAGGGGCAGAATCCCCTCCCTGGCCCTGCTGCCCACGCTGCTCTGGATGCAGCCCAGGACATAGGTGGCTTTATGGGCTGTGCAGCACACTGCTGATTTATGTCCAGCTCTTCATCTGTGACAATTCACAAGTTCTCTTCATGGCTGCTCTCAATTAGCTCTCTCAGTCTGTATTTGTGTTTGAGACTGCCCCAACCGAGGTGCAGAACCTTGTATTTGGCCTTGTTAAATCTCACGAGGTTCCCACAGGCCCACTTCTATAGCTTGTCCAGGTCCCTCTGGATGGCACCCTCCCCTTCAGATGTGTCAGCTGCAGCACTCAGCTTGTCATCTGAAAACTTGCTGAGGGTGTCCTTGATCTCACTGTCCATGTCATTGATAAAGATCTCTTTGAACTCCATGCACTGGTTCCATGGCAGAGCCCTGATGGATATCACTTGTCACCAGCCTCCACCTCAACACCTAGACCCAACAGGTATATAGAAGACAGTTACACCAGTAGTTGCTAAAACATCAATGATAGTAGTGACCCAAAGCTGAAAAGGCAAGAAAGTCTACCTGGTCATAGATATTTTAAGACCTTTTTCCTCCTTGCCTGGTCTTTTGACTTCATAAAAATCATCACCAGAACATAGTTCATAGGAAAGTGTGTCCAGGAACTAAAAGTGCAGATGAATGTAATGGAATAGAGAATAGAATGGAGAGTTAATTAAAAAGATTGTACAAAACTAGACATACAACCTATGGAGAAAAAAATATGTGTGACTCTGGAAAAGGTGTCTTAATTTAGTAGGAAAGTTTGAAGGAGGAGCCTTTCCTGGAAAACTTAGAAAAAGGAATAAAAAGCAAGTAATCAGAGAGAAAAGAAGAAAAATAGAAGGTCACATGTAGTGATGTTAAAAGGGATGATGAGACACAGGAAGCAGTTCTGAAGAGAGAATGAGGATGATGCTTAGAAGATGCAGGATAGAAAAAAGATGTAGAGTTATCTCAATAAGAAGACAGAACAGAAGGAGACAGTAGACATTTCCAGCAGCATGGAAGGACAAGCCTGAACCTTACATGAAGGAAAACTTTAACAAGAGAAAGGGACATGAGAGCATGGCAAATTAGGCTACCTGCCAGGAGAAAGGTTGCAGTGTGCAGGCCTGAGGCTGAAAAGGATCATGAACAGAACAGAGAGAAATATTCTGACCATACCTTCTGTCAGGAAAATAAGGTATCAGATTATTGTTAGAAAATACTGAAACAGCACTTAAATCCAGTGCAGATACTGATTATTTGTATCCACAGAAGAAAAAAAAATTCTCTAGAAGGCTCTAGATCCTGAAAATAAAGCAATGAACAAAAGCAATGGTAGGGCTGTTTGTTACAACATAAATATTTATGCATTCTCTTTTTATTGATGACTACATTCCACCTAAATACCGAGGAGCTAAGAATTCCAAGATTATTAATACAAGCTTTCAGTATCAGGGAAAACCATATGCAAATCTCTATGTATGGTTTTAATTCATTGAAAAATGAAAACTGGGGAAATCAAAAATACAGCAATGGAGGAGGAAATACGAATGTGAAGGTTTGGTGGCAAGAAGATAGAAAAGGCTTGCTGATAACAGCAATGGCCAGGCTGACTTTTTTTAACAAGCATGGTGAGACAAAGTATGAGCTACACAGGAAAGACAAAATAAAAGTAAGAACTTGAATGTCATAATATGCTGATGACGTGATAATGTATCAGCAAATACAAAATCAGTGTTTGGATAAAACAGAATAACTGTGGGTTCCATGTAATTTTGGAAAAGGGAAATTTAAAAAGCTGGAAGTCAAGCTGGAGGTCAATTGCTGATTACCCTGATCAGTTTGGATGCTGAGAAATACCTTTCTAATTGTTGAAAAATATTAAAGGATGCTGTTATTTATGAGAGAATTTAGCTGTTCAGAGTAGTTTGTATAGTGAAAACTAATTAGTAAGGACTAATGGCCCTGTGTTCTGGCTGTGCTAATTAGCAGATTCTTTATCCAGTACTGACTAAGTGAGAAGAA